CTTTTTAACCATATCTTTCAAAATTAGATAACACACACCCTGCAAGCTCCTCGTATAAATAAAATACTTTCAAAGTAGGCTTCTACCACCAACGTATTTATTGTCCTATAATTAGGTAAGACCTAATCCAGTTTTACCTCATGAAACAAATTAAATATCAACAGTTCATATTTTTTGCCAGCAGTGTAAAATGTTTATTATAACATGAAGAATAGTTAGGATATAGCTAAAAAATTGAATGCCTAATTCAGCATAATGCAGCAGTAAAAGCCTGAGTGAAGCCATGTTATTAAATATTCACAAAAAAAGAAAACTGACACAGATCAGGTAAACAGCTATTATCTAAATGATTTACTGATGGATTAGGCTTTTCTTATACAGTTGTTTCCAACCACACACAGGGCAGACATTTCAGATCTTCCTTTCAAATTATGAAACTTATCAGTATTTTCAACTCACCATTAGAAGGGACAAGCTGAGCTGCATGTCTGTAGTAAGACTCTGCCTGGCTTGTCTGATTCCTATACCGAGCTAAAGAAACAAAAAACCCAACAAATTGAGATCAAACAAAAGCAATCTTCCTGCACTTACTTTAATACAATCCAGTTTACCCCAAGAGTGTTTTATTACTGTTTTAGAAATACGTATCAGCACTTACAACTATGCCAAACAGCAAGAAGATTCAACAAGTTAAACTTTTTAAAGAGACCATTTTACCTCAGGTTCAGTTGTCATGGCTTATCATTTTTTGTTTAGAAAGATGCTGTGCCAACAGCAACACATCCAAGGAGCTACAAATATACTTTTTATACTTATCTGTACAACCAGCAACTACACCTACTTTTAGATCTTTACATAAACAACTGCAGGTCCTCTAAAAACAGAGCTTCTTACAACATTTAGTTCTATTCAAAGGAATTTGTCTGTCAAATTTAACGTTGAAACCAAAACCTCACTTACGAAAGGCTGGATTCCTAACCATCTTCTTTGCCTACAAGAGATTTAAAAGTAATGTTCTGAAATGGAGAAGCATGCCAGCCTGCTGCAACAAGTTTTTCTAATAGTTACCAGTTTCAACAGTTCACTGCTCCCACCAGCTATAGCATGGACTATGCAGCAAGTATGCTAGGATACAAGATCCTACCACATCACTACAAAGCAACCCTTGAACGTCTCCATGCATGAAAATGTAACACATAAGAAATATCTAACAGTGTTGCTTTCCCCTGCAACACCCAAGTATACCTGGCTGCTAATAGACTGGCTACTAATTTGGAGCACACTTGCACAGATTCTTTGCTGTGAAGGTTCAACACAGAGGCAGAACTTAATGTCCCACCTCTTCTTGCTTTAAAAACTCACCAATATCTCCAAGGTGGACAAGGCAGTGCTGGCAGATGTAGGAGCAGGAGCTAGACTGTGGCTTCACTATGGCGCTGGTGTGCGTCTGTTTATTGCTAATGATTCCCAGCTGGGAAGACTTCACACGACATGGCAAGTCTACATTAAAAACTGTGCACAATTCCTGTAATAACTAGAAAAACAAGTCTAATTTAGTAGCAGTTAGAGGCAGCAATCAGAACAGCACTGAAACAGCAGACAAAACTGGCACACAAATCACCACTCAGAGGCATGGATTAGCTGAACATGCTGAAAGCCAACAAGTGTAGGTTACTGAATGAGAATTTGCATTACTTTACGTGACAGTCACAGAGTTTTATATTGCTCTACTCTTCCAAGAACTGTGAGGAGGATTTTTACTGGAGCTGTGCATCTCGAAGCAGTAAGCACCTCAATTCCCATCTATTCAAATTACCAAGCATCAGTAGAGATGGATTATCAGAGGTCTAGAAGTCTTGCATTTGTTTTCAAAACAGGGGTAGTCTCCTTTGGTACCTACATGAACAGACACCATTCTCTGACAATTACAGACAGGTTCGCTATTCACCCTCTGAAGAAACTCAAGGCATAAGAAAAAGCATCCCTGGAGTTTAACTTCAGGGATTAGCTTGAATAAAACCAAGTCTGTAGGCAACACGAGGCAAAAGTGGCTGAGTTATCCCATTGGGTGGACTGCCAAGTCAGTAAATATTTGTGCTAAGCCAACACTGAGACTCAACGAACAAGGCAGTAGCTACTTAATCAAATATCTCAAAATTTGATTCAAACAAAGCTGAACTTTGACATTCTAATTAGTGCTTTTGAAGTTTTTCCTAATGGACTCCATTGAGTCATCTTGAAGTGAATTATTTGTTCTACCAAGTTACATAGTTAAAAATCCAAGTAAAAATTGTCAGACTTTCTCCCAGGTAGAAACACACTCAATCTCCAAAGAAAATAAACCTGTGGCAGAGTCCCACTTCCAGATAAAGGCATTCAGAAAGCCAAGGACTGATAAGAGATGTGCACAGCCAGCAGCTAAAGATTCAATGCGTTGTTTGTTTGCTGCAGAAAATGGTTGGTGTTAGATCTACTGTATAAAAGACAGAGTAGATGGGTAAGGAGATTAAAAAAAAACAAAACAAGAGGAACCTCACAGATGAAAGAAGGATAAAAGAGAAACCAGACATCTTCCAACATTCTGAATCATGAGAATTCATGCTCTTCCCAAAACACCATCTATAAAGGCCTTGCTGTTGGAAAGCAGGTATCACGGCTGAGCAGCCTTTGGACTAAAAATGGAATGATTAACATGACAAACTGAGAAAGACAACCAATTCTGTGGTGGGTGTCATACAGAAGAGCAAAGTTTCCTAAGTACTGCAAGGAAGAAAGACTTTTGCAAGACAAATGATGTAGATGGTAGACATCTCCTGGCAACCAAGCTACAATCTGTCCAACTGGCTGCTTCCAACATGAAGCAACCCAGAAAGCAATGCCCAAGTAAGAATGAATGGAACAAAAAGAAATCAGTGCAGTTCCTGGGGGGAAAAAAAAAAAAGGGACTGCTTTGGACGTGGTCAAAAAACAAATGCAAAACTGAAGAAGAAAGAAGGACCTATGCTGCACGTTGCAACCCAAAGCCAGCACAGACTAGCCATGATAAAACAATTAGTCAGGGCATTACTTGATATACAGGCAACAGCACCGACCACGTTCCTCAAGCACACAACAAATGGGGGAAAACAAAAAAAAAAGCAAGTTAGCTGTAAAAAGGCCATTACCACATGCTAACTTGAATTCTACAAGCTAAAATCTAACCAAAGAGCACAAAGCAAAAAATGGCAGTAATAAATAAATACATGAACATGCTTTTCAACTGAAAACTCACAGCAGATACCTAACACAAGATCACACATCTATATGGTTTTATTTAACAGGAAGAGCTATATCTGAAGATTCCAATTTCAAATAACTTCTGACAAAAACATAGAATTAAGAGTGAAGATGTGCTTGTAAGCCTACAAACTCTGATAAAAAAACCAACAAGCTGTTATGTGAAACAATACTCTTTGGGACAACCATGCTACTTATATGCACAAGAGTGGTAGGTACTAAGTCAGGCATTATCACAAAAAATTAAGCTGTATTTATTGTAGATAGATCCTGGAAAACATTAACTCAGTGCTAACCAGTGGCATAAGAGTTACAAGGAAGGGACACAAACATTATGCCAACATGCAAATCCTCAGTGCATCCACATTTGGGAACAAGCAGTTGGTCGAGCAGCACAGAAGAACTGACAGAGGCCAATCAAAGCTTTACGAAGGACCCACATGCATGTGGCATATGACTGAAGCATGCATGCTTCCAGACTACGTAGATGTATCACAACCAAGAGATTTTTCACAACTCACCTGTGTGTAGAAGCCACTAGCTGCCTCTAAGAACAGAGAAAGGTTTGCCTGAACTTCGCTGCGATTTGGATTTGCTCTATTTTTCGCTTGACCCTGTAGCGTTGTGATCTGATTTTTAAAGGCATGATTCCAACTGAAAACGAAAGAAATGCTTTCCTTTTTATTCTGGAAGTGTCTTATACACATACCATAAGTAACAGGAAAGAACTGTTTAATTATATAGCATTAAACATAAAAATGAAGTGTATTACATTCTGACATCATTCAGAGTAGAAATATTAATTAAATCAGGAAGAATCATCTTTCCCCACCTCTCAATAGCACAGAAATCAATCCTGATACTGTATAGCTAACATTCCCTTCTCTTCTCCTTCCTTTCACCTTGCTTACCAAAACTCAGTCCTGCATGACACGGTTGTTGCTAACTGACAGAGGTAGAATACTCATCTGTGGAACTCTCTTAATCTAATCCACAGTGAATTCTCACATTCCACCTCAACGCAGCTCTCACTTTAAAGGAAATAAGGCAATCATTTCATAGGAAACAAGTCACTTTTCTGTAAGCACTGGGGTTTCCTGCTCATCAGCACACATTACACACAGATTTATTGATGTGTACTTACAGGTCCTGCTCCACTTTTTTATCTAGAGCATACTCCAAATCAGTCACGAGCATTTTCTGATATAAGTCCTGTAGAGCTTGTCTGGATGTCCAGACTTCTGCTGGACCCAGCTTTGAATCTGAGCAACAAAAAGCAAAAACAGACAATAGTTTTTAAATACTCAAATTGTATTAATTATTCATGTCCTACCAAATGAAAAAATACAGCACAATGTAAGATGCCAAACACCCACCTGTCTCACAGATTCATGAGAACTTTGAAATACAAAAATCACAAAGGGACTGGGGATTAACTTATCCTATAATAAAGTAACTAGAGATTAGTAAAGTCAGCAGCAGAAAAGTTGGAGAAACAAAAAGGGGTAACTCTCCACAAGCCATTATGTTGCAGAACTTCTTGTCACTGGATGGATTTTAAAAATCCAGAGGAGACTGAAAAACTTAGTAGAAAAGAAATCCATCAAGTGCAAGCAAGTAGGAGAGTTCATGAGCTAATGCTCTTTTGGAAGAACACTGCAGGGAAGTATGGCTGTGTGCTTGCCATTTTCTAAACACTTTGCTGCCATCTGCTCTACATCATTTGAGGGTGAGTGCAAACACAGTCCCATGCTATCACAAATTACACAGTACAGTTGCCCAAGATTTGTAAAATCACCTGGGCTGGGGCTGCTGGAGCACACGAGACACATAGTGCCCCAGGGAAGCCATTCTGCTGATGGAGCAGCCACTTCTGCTGGGTTAGATGGATTTGAGCAGTCAGGATGTTCCTACAGGGACCCCACCAACCTGCTGCACGTGCTACACCAAGACACTAATCTTGGCTGAGCATGGGTTTGTTATGCAAGCATGGGTTCATCATTCAAGTCGTTGAGACATTAATATAAACCACTCTCATTTTCCATAAATAACCAAAGTTTAAAAGTCAGCTTGTAGCATGTTGTAACACACAGGGTAGCGTTTGGATCAACATTTCCATCACCCAGATTTCTGTAGACCAGTAAGGTCCTATCTCCTGCTAACCCAATGTGCAGCAGTCCCTGCGATAGCCTGGACAGGAGTTTCTTTCTCACCTCTAAAGAGAGAGTAATAGGAACACAATCCGTTTCCAAATGCTTTTTAACACAGTCAGCTTTAAGAATACGTGTATTTTAGATATAGAAGAGACTAGCACAGTTATGAAAATTATATCAATATTTACTTACATGCAGAGAACAAACTTTTAACATAATGCTGCACAGAGAATTCTCAGGAATGTAAGCACAAGGAGCACACGAAGGGAAGACCAACAATAAGCAAACATTATTAGCTAGATCCGCTACATAACAAAGGCAATTACCTGTCATGTCAGCCTTCAGGACTTCTGCCTGCCTGTAAGAAAGCAGTCAAACAATAAATTAGAAAGACACTGATCAAATTATGCTAAACCACATTCATGCAACTGTGAGCATAGAAAACAGGGCCAGCTCCTGAGAGGCTGCCTACAAACTAAACTGCCATCCAGCTTACTACTTGAGTTATAGATTTGAGTTATTGCTGTTTATCAGTGTTTTCTTATACTTCCCCACCATAATAAAGGTAAATTGTTCAACTTTCCCTCCTTAGATTAAGCCTATTTCAGAAAAAGCATAAGAACTAAAGACTATTACACAGCACTGCAAGGTTTGCCTGGCAGCAGCATCTTGGCATATAAGTGGCACTTGCTTACCTGTAACTGGCCATGTGAAATTTACTCTTAAGTCACCACACATGAAATGCTTCCAGAGCACTGAAGACTCCCACCAGTTCCTGTCAGCACCTTGCTGCAGCCCCCCCACCCCTCACCACACCCTACCAGTCTTCCCTATGAAGAGACACCACAAGAACTATGGCTTCCCCAGGTATTTCCCCTTGCACTGCCTCACCAAAGTCATGGCAAGAACAACTGTTCAAGGAAAGGCTGGTTAAGGAGCATTGAGAAAGAATGGCTTTTATGGGTGACCCATCACAATCAATTCCACCTCCTGGCCACATACAACAGCAGAGCTTCTGAGACCCACATCAGCATTAAAGGTACCAGGCTGATGCCAGCACTCCACAGGCAAGGTGCACACTGGCAAGTCCCTTCACAAAGCTTTCTGACTGCAGTAATTGCAGAAATGTGTCCAACCACTCACTCTGGTCACTGAGAACCAATACACCTGGCAGGGAGCAACGGGATGCTCCCAAGGCTGTATTTAAACGTAGAACATCCTAAAAGAAGTAAAACTGTACCTTCCTCACCCATTTTTCTCAAGTTCAACCTATTCTAGGTTTTTCATAGCATCTGTAGTTTATTTCTTCCAAGTTTTTTTTTGTAATCTATTGACAATAGTAAGTGCTGACAGATGAGACCACATATAAAAATACTGGTGGAAAAGTAAGGAAAAGTTTGGAAACTGTACAGTGAGAAGCTGAGAGCCAACAAGCATTTCTCCCAGCCCTGAGACAGTGCAAAGGGAAGGAGCATTCCTCAGCCCACAGCTGATGAAGGACCCACGAGTCCCAAAAAGCACAGAGCTGAGTAAACCCTGCAGTGCCACGACTCGTGTGTTAGAAATGTGACTGCTCAGAAGAGAAGATCGCTTGTTTTTAAACAGCCAAGTCAGTACAGTTTGCCTTGCCCTTTACACAGGTGGCAGTTTTGTAAGCTTTTCCCTTAGAGCTGAGCTATGAACCCTACAGAAGCTCAGCCCAAGCAGGACACATGGCATTGCCCAGCAAATGCCACCCTCAAATTCCCCTCCAGGCAAAGCAGCTCTGCCTAAGAACTGCTCCTCCAAAACTCACAGGGGCAGAACTACCCGCTACTGTATTCAAGCAGCACCATTATAAAACCTCTTCTTTCCCCAGAATGCTTTGAAGACCTGTTTCCTGGAGAATTTAGATTAAAAGAGCTCCAGCCAAACGCGTGCAATTACTGACAGGCACTCCATAAGAGCATCACCAGAATGTCTGGAACTCGCCCTGCTCTGACTGTGAAGTTAGGCTCTTACACTTCAAGCTTCCATATTTCTGTGCAACTCCTCCTTGAAAATGTGACTGAGAAAGATTTTTACCTGAATTCCCCCCATCAAAAAATGCTTAGATCTGATTTGTACAACCATCCTCACAAGCTCCCAGGACAAGTACCTGTCATACTAATCTCATCACTAGCTGTAAGGCAAGCTGCCTTGCCTATTTGATAAGCTCGCAGCACAATGCACTAAAGAGATTATCACTATTTTTTTTAATAAAAAGCATTGCATTACTTCAACAGTTCCTTGAGACCAAAGGAATGAGGCAGATCTCACACCAGCACGCTGCTCCTCGTTTTCACCTAAGGATAACCTGTAAATAAAACAGCTCCAACTGCAGCACAGGCTAAGAAAGCACAATGGTACCAAATCTGCTTTGCATCACTGTTTGAGAGAAAAGCATTGCCTGCTCCCACAGGAACCTTCACTGAAGTCTTTGCTGGTGCCTGGAGCAGCTACACTCCAGGGCTCACTGCTACCTGCAGAAGTTTCATGCAGTATAAATGTACATAAATTGGCATTTACAAATATCATTGGGCATTTGGTAATAAAGGTTTTTGTCCCTATATTTTTGAATCAGCTAATATTGCATCAGAATGACTCACTCTGCTGCAAAAATGTGTTGCCTGCCAGCAAGCTTGGTGCAACTCGCTCACATTTTATCATTTTAATACCATTCTCAAGTAGCTCCTTGTCTGGTTTGCCTCAGCAGTTCAGCCTTCAAGTCACATCTACCCAACCAGTTTGTGCTTTATTGACTCTGGACTAATAAACCATAGCTAATCAAATATCATATTCCAAGCACCTTTGTTAGGACACACAGCTTGGTATACTGTGATAGCTATCCTGTTAAGTTTCCTAACTAAATACATATTCAATTCTGTCTTTTAGTTGAGCTTGAAGCTCAGATACAATAACTTCCCATTCAAATCAGCAAAGTAGTTCAACATCTAAAGGACACACTCCTTCATTTACACAGCAAGGAGGAGCCAGGTAAGATCTGTGATGGCATGACATCCTACAACACTCACAGAAAACCCTGACCTCATAGAAACACAGCACAACACGCTGCTTTCCACCAGGCCTGGAGGGGAACTCCATTCGCTTTTCCCCTAGCAGTCTCGAAACACCAGCAGCTATTTCAGTTCCTTTATCAAATCCCAGCCCCACACTGACAAGGAACTGATGATTTTCAACATTAAAATGGGTAGCTGGGTATTTAAGAGCAATGCGAATCCAATTGCTCATTCTGTGAATGCTCTACAACTCAAAACTGTGTTGAATGATCTGTGTAGTTTCACTCCCAGGATGAATTTATATTCCTGCGCTTCCCCTCCCCAGAGGCAGGTGCAGAAATTGCTCAGCAGCAAGAAGTGCCCACAGCCTTTCAAACCTGAGCAGAGATGCACAACCCACGTGGAGGCTCGCTGAAGGACAGGGCTGCTCAGAGCTGTCCAGATGTGGGCGCTGCCAGAAAGGTCTCCTCCTTCTAAGAGTCGGAAAATAAGCGGAGGAAATTATTCATTTTGGGTAGAAAAGGTCAATTTTCTATGATAGGAAACTAAACAGAAAGTACATTCAACACCCTCAAAACATGCTGTTATTAAATGCTTAACCTTCCAATAGGTGGAAATGCTCACACCCAGAAGGAACTCCAACGCAACACCCAGCAACTCCTCTTAGATTTTCCTCCAAACAAAAGTTAACTTCAACAAAAATCTGTAATATACCTGAGATTTGTGTTTTCCAGAAGTATACCTGAGCTTATCCAAGGGAAGGCAGCTGGAAACACAGACACCACAGCCACTGTTCAAACAACATTCTGCTGCAGATGTAGGGGAGAAGGGGGCTTTCTCTGAAGCCCCTAAACACTGCACCCAGGAGAGCATTCACATGTGCTATTTAGTGCTGAGCAGAAGTCACTGTACAGCATGGCTGATGGTTTTATGTAAAATAAGTACTTCCCATTCCTAAGAGTAGCCAACACCACTTGCTAGAGTAGAAAGCCTTATCAGCAATATTTTGAGACTGCAATATGGAGACTTAAGTTTCTTATTTGTGTATAATTTTACTTGCTCATGCATGCAGTATATAAGACTTCTCTTAAAGCACCTTTGCTTTTACTGATGAAACCTTTACTGTTCCAAACTTGCCAGCATTGCCACTCCACTTAAACATCCACAGGTTTAAAGAAGGGCTGGAGCTGCCTGCTGTGCAACCAGCAGGTCTTGGTGATGTCAGCTCTCACTGACCAGCAAGAGATCTTCAGGCTGAGTCATCCACTCAAACACACCACACACCTTCTGCCCTGAAAGCAAAGCCTTTGTGCACTTAGCAATGATTTTCCTTGAAAAACCCCATCAGCCAACATCTTACTGTCATTTTTACACATGCTAACGAGTTTAAAGCTTGTTGCCTCTGAAGTCAGGGTGCAGCTGATTTTCTGACCAGTAGCTTTATGAGCTTGTAGCTGGAGATCAAAGCCACGCAGTCAATTAATTCAGCAGCAGTGCAACTCTGAAAGCAAAGAAAAAGAGAACCAGCAATTCCGCAAGCAGAAGGCAAGACAGGCACCATCTGCATCGAAAGCCCCTCCTGCTCCATGACCTTTCTGCTCCCACCTCAGCCAGGTGGCATGGTGAGAAAGTGGACAGAATTAGAGTTGTACTATTTTTTACTTCTTCCTCTTCATCTCCCCCCCTTTCTCCTAGTC